ATTTTGGGATATGTGGATTTTCAAGTTGAATTATTTGTCAATTTATTATAATGCAGGAACCTTCAAGAGAGAACATGTTACTTCATTAGGGCTTGAACTCCTCTTTTTTATTGATAATTTAGCAGCAATGCATATGCAACTATTGTGGCTCATTTTTTAATCCATCTTATCTTGTTCCAACTTCAATTAATTGAGCACTTTTTTGAGGTTGGTATTTGATGATGCACATTTTCTTTAAATACTCATTTTTCGAGTAACTTTTTTAGTGGGAGTAAGTAGCTTAAGAAACAAATTTCTATTGCACATTTTATTTACTTATTGAAAAGGAACTCGCAACCACTCGACATATACTAGCTAAACTAAATCACACAAATTTAACTATATATGACGAGCTCAATGGAGGAAATAATGGTAAATAAATATTAGACTAAAAATATAAACTCTACTAAGGTAACCGTGTGTGTAGAGCTCAATCTCTAAAGTATCGTTAAGTATCATTCTACAGATGCAATTAACACTAAATTAACCATGCGTGACGAACTCGATCTAAAAAGTATGTATATTTTGAATAATTAATCAAAATAACTTGTAAATAATATTCAGTTATCATAAAATATAAATAATAAACCCATATTATTATTAAAAAAAATACTTAACTCTGTATTAACTCTTTATTAATTATTATATAAAAAATAATTGAACTTTATTTTAATTAATATACCAGTAATGTTTCAACTTGTAATACTAATTAACAAGTATAAGAAAGCCCAATCACCACTCTGCGGGCCCAAACCCTTTTTACACAAGCCCACATGATCTCACTGTCCATCTAATTTATTAAATGAATAATGAATTTCTAACATGTTGAATCAGAAATGAGAAGCAAAGAAGTGTGTATAATCATAATCATACGAACTCGAACTAATCAGGCGATATAATATTGTATAAAGTTGCATGAGGTCTAACTTTTACGACTACCTTTCATTCAAAATATTACTTTCTATCTCTAGAACTCGCAAGCTCACCCACCCAAGCCCCGAAACCTCACAAACATGTCCAAGTTGGATGTGG